CGCTGTTACCTTCCCACCAAAGCGGTACCTATTTATCTACTTGCAATTTCTTGCTTTCGAACGGCTAGGTTGGCAAGAGCTGGAACTAGAGACGGGAGCTCACTCCGTCATGCGGCACACTCTGGTCTCGAACTGCTGAACTACCGACCTTCCACAGCCTGCAGTTCAGCGTCTTAACCACTTGAGCCACCGCAGCTCCTTGGTTTTTCTTAGCGGCAGTTATATGTGACATCTGAATATGACCCCAGTCAGATTCAAATTAATTAACACACCTAAATATTAAGGAACGAGGCTCGAGATACTGTGCCCCTTCTTTCTCGGGAGCATTTGGCATTTCGAAGAACGGAAGTCTGAGATTTGGACTTGGAAGGTGCCCCATCTCTTTCTCACCGAAAGCAAACAGAGCTCCCAGAAGGTGCCCAGCGCCAAATCTGAGCCCCGAGCGGTGGGCTCGGAGTTTAAAGCTCAAATGTCAGGGTCTGGATTTTTAAATCATAAAATCCGAATAGCCAAGTGCGCTTTGCCTGAATCCCACAACAACCAATTAGTCGTTTATGGGAACGTCCCCTCACCGATGCCTCTTTATTTATTATTTATTTAATCCAATGTGTATCCCGCCCTCCCTGCGAACAGACTCAGGGTGGCTTGCAGTAATCAGGATAAGGTACCATAGAATCCACATAAAAACGTTTTAAACATTCAGGTAATCAAAAAGTGCTAGTAGTACATAACATTCCATCACTAATTGAGATGGCGAGCTATATCAGGGGTCATTTCCTACAGGAGCACACAGGAGCGGAGCTCCGGCAGTAAAGAGCCCAGGGGGCGGGCACATGCAACAAGCCCCACCTCCTGCTCCCAGCAGCCCTCAGTCAGAGCAAGAAGCAGCCAGGTAAGTTGCAGAGCCCCCCCCCCCGGGGCCCCCGGTCCAAAACGGTCCAGTGGCACCTTTAAGACCAGGTTTTATTCAGGTACAAGCTCTCCCTCCTCTGCGAGGAAAGATCTGCCCGTTGTCCCCCCCCCCCAATAGCTAGCAATGCAAAACAGTCCAGTGGAGCCTGAGCGGTGGGTGTTGCCCTCTGACACACTTCTGGTGATGTCAGGGAGTGTGGCATATGCAAACGAGTTATGCTAATGAGATCCTACACCTCTTTTTCTACAAAATGTCCCCTGTATATGATGTAACAGCAGACAATTTCAGACTGAGTGATCTTCTGGCGTCACACGATGGTATGGCTCGGTCTCAAAGCTGGGGCCGGCCCATAACCACAGACGTTGGTGGCAGTGGTGAGGGCAGCTCCTAATTGAAAGCCTGGTGGAAGAGCGCCATCTTGCAGGCCCTGCGGAACTGTGCAAGGTTCCGCAGGGCCCTGATCTCTTCTGGGAGCTCATTCCACCAGACTGGAGCCGCCACTGAGAAGGCCCTGGCCCTGGTGGTAGGGAGCCTGGCATCCTTGGGACCCGGGAGGTTCAATTGATTTTGAGACCCCAAACGTAGTGCTCTCTGGGGTACAGGGAAAGGCGGTCCCTCAGGTATGTCGGACCCTGGCCATATAGAGCTTTATAGGTAAGTACCAGCAGCTTGAAGCGAATTCGGTATGCTACTGGCAGCCAGTGCAGTGCCTTCAGTGCAGGCTGGATGTGCTCCCATCTAAGGAGGCCCATGAGCAGCCTGGCCGCTGCATTCTGCACTAGCTGCAACTTCTGGATCTGTGACAAGGGCAGCCCCATGTAGAGAGCGTCACGTGCCTCGGAGAGGACGCGACCCCAAACCTTTACAGGCTGAGTCGACTGTGGAGCCAGAGACCGAGAACATCGTGCCCAACTCTGCCCGTCCTAGGGCAAGAGCCACCCTGCTCACCAAAACCAGGAGCCCGTCTATGCAATCCAAATAACAGCGTGCCAACGGTGGAGAGAGAGGACCTCCTCAAAATGGCCGACACAAGCTGTTGTGCAGCATCACAGACACAGGACGATACGGCACGGAGAAAATCCCTTCAAAAACCAAACCGTGGTGGTGTTTCAGACCACGGGAGTAAGTGAAACACATCAAAGTAAACCCGCCCCCCCCATTGCTTTGGGCACAATTCCACCCCTGACACCAATTCCCACCCCAAGAGGCCACAACAGGGCAGGTTGCCGCTGCAAGACTGTACTGGAAGAAGAAGAAGAGAAGAGATTGGATTTATATATTTCGCCCTTCACTACTCGTCACCTCTCGTCACCTCAATCTGACTCAGGTCTTTCAACACCCCTCCCAAACTCAGCGGTTCTGGAGAGGGCAAGGACTTCTCATCTTCCACAGTGAAGACAGAGGCAAAAAATGCATTTAGCTTCTCAGCCATTTCCCTATCATCCTTCAGTACTCCTTTTACCCCTTGGTCATCCAAGGGCCCCACTGCCTCCCTGGCTGGTTTCCTGCTTCTAATGTATTTGAAGAAAGATTTATTGTTAGTCTTTATGTTTTTTTGCTATATGCTCCTCATATTCCCGACTGAGGAAGGCTCTGCAGAGGAAGGCGATGGCCAACCACCTCTGCTCCTCACTTGCCTTGGAAGCCCCTTGCTGGGCTCACTATAAGTTGGAGGTGAAGCAGGGTCAGTACTTGGAAAGGAGACCACCAAGGAAGGCTCTGCAGAGCAAGGCGATGGCCAACCACCTCTGCTTCTCACTTGTCTTCAAAGCCCCTTACTGGGGTTGCCGTAAGTGGGAAGCTCAGCAGGGCCAGTACTTGGAAGGGAGACCACCAAGGAAGGCTCTGCAGAGGAAGGCTGTGGCACACCACCTCTGCTTCTCGCTTGCCTTGAAAGCCCCTTGCCTGGGTTGACGGCACCTTATGCCCACAAAGCCTACGCTATTTGACAAGACCTTTGGCACTGCGTGCTTCCAGCGGCCCTGGGCCCCCGCCCCTCCACACACAGTGTTTGGGGTGCCAGCCGTACCATCAAACAGGCCTAAACTGTAATTTTAAAATGCCGATTTCATGTATTTTTAAGTACTCCATGTTACATATTTTATTTATACTATAAGCTGCCTTTGTGCTCTGTAAGGAAGACAGGGGGCTGCCAAATGTTCAGAACGAAACGAAGGCAGCTGGCATACAGTGGCGGACAATCACACGGGTGTGAGTGTTCAGAGGCGCCAAAAGGCAGGAGCCCCACAGGACCCACGGCAGGCCCCAGGATCCCCGGCCCTTTCCCTCCTTGCAAGCCCCACTTCTCCCCTGGCTCAGCGTAACGAGCCTTCAAAGCAGCTGATAAGCAGAACGAGAGCGTCCAGACTCTGTCTGGAAAATAAACCAGACATGTCGAGCCACTGCAGCATCAAAAGTGTCCTTCGTGAAACAAGAGCGCTCTTGGAGTACAGAGCGCTCTTGGAGCACAGAGGCAACCGATGCTGGGACTCCCGACGGTGGCATGGAAACGGACCCGAGTCCCAGGATAGAAATGTAAAATTTCCGGAAAAATTGCAAAAAATGCTACATTAGCATTTCTTTTGTCTTTTCTAGATTGAAAGTCATTCTGTTACTTTAGGAACATAAAATATGACTATGGTCATTTTTACTTGGCATGAAACTATTACAACTAGCATATTAAAAATATAGTGTATCCAAACAGTTATTACAAAACCCACATGCAAAAACAAACCTTTTTATTTTCTTCTGACAATAGCACCTAAGGGATGAATTGCATCTTGTTCTTGCATTGGAGAGTTCAGTTTGTAACCTAGGACTTGCTTGTCCTCAGTGCACAGAAATTAGATCAATCTGATACCATATATATATATATATTTTAGAAATGATTTGGAAAATATTTGAACACCTTGTCTTAAAATATTTTATTCATCATGTTAAAATAAAACGGTCCATAATCATTTTTTTTTCTTTTTTCAATTTTTCCAAATTTTCGGAAAAAAACAAAAAGGCTTCAGGAAAAAAACGGGAAAAACCTGGGTTTTTTCCGAATTTTTCCGGTTTTTTTCCGGGCCTTCACATCTCTATCCCAGGACCCACCTGGGATATCACAAGGGACCTTGTGGCGTGCCCTCTGGATCGCATGGCGCACCTCTGCGAGAACGTGCAAAAGGGTTTCTCCGACGGAACCTGCCATTCCCTTCGGAGAAGACTATGGCAAAAGCAGGGGGAGGCAAGAAAAGGCCACACAACCCGGAGAGGGGGAAGAATGACTTTCGAAGCACATCCTCCCTCTGTGGATTTTGTGCCACTTCGTCAATACAGATAGTTTCAGAGAGTAGGCGTGTTGCTCTGCAGTTAAACAGCTAGATCCGAGCCCAGGAACGCCTCAGAGACCAGCAACATTTTGGGGAGGTATGAGATGTTGGGAATTAAAGTTCACTTCGTCAGATACAAGTTTCCGACTTGTATCTGACGAAGGCAGCTTTGACGTTCAAAAGTTTATACCCCCACAATCTTGTTTATCAATGCAGTAAATGAAGGTTACTTAATTTCCATCCAGTGATACCGCTCTCCTCCAGTTAAATACGCAACCCATTCGGCGACTGCGCTTTTTGCACTACGGGAAAGAGAACGGCAGTGCCCAAAGCATCAGAGCAGGTTGAGGGGAGCCTGCAGATCTCCAAGCGCACAGCCCCTTGGGGGAGAGGGTGGGCGGAGGGGCAACCAACAGAAGGGGGAGCAGTGGCCACAAGAACTTGGCGCCTGCCAGCACCTGATGTTCACGTCACACTCTGGCGCATGAAGCCAGGAAGAAAGACACTGCTTCGGAGGTGACATTTGCAGTTGGCTCATTACTCTTTTCAAGAGAGTTTGGCATCAAAGAGATGACTTCAAACAACAGGCCCGCATTCGCATATGCGAGAGCTAATTAAGCGCCATGCCGGTAGTTCGGCTGGCTAGGAGCTGCCCGAGCAAGCTGGTGGATGCCTTCTGCGCCATGGGGTGGGGGTGCACGATACTGGGCCAAGCTTTTTATGCAGGGGGCTCCCCTTTCCCCGGGAGGCAGGCTCCGACGCCGTCCTACCTTCATGCTCCTTCTCCGAGGTGCCAATCTTTTTGGCTTTCTTGGGGGACTTCATGAAGAGGGGGAAGATGGTCCTCAGGCCCAGGATGTCCACAAACTTGTGGCAGTTGTCGGCTCCCTCCGGCCCGATCATGGCATGGTCCAGGACTTTCAAGGCACTGCTCCTGGAGATCTTCTTCTCCCTGCGAAGGAAGACCTCGTGGTTAATGGGAGTTGGCACGGAAGGACCCCGGGGGAAGGTGCTGCGGGGCAAGAAGACCTGGGGCAAGAAGACCCCACGCTCAGCCACAGAGCCCCTCCCCAGAAAAGGACAACTAGGATGATAAAGGGGTTGGAACACTTTCCCTGTGAACAAAGGTGAAAGCGCTTAGGGCTCTTTAGCTTGGAGAAAAGACGGCTGAGGGGGGACACGATCGAGGTTTACAAGATTATGCATGGGAAAGAGCAGGTAGAGAAAGAGGTACTTTTCTCCCTTTCTCACAAGACAAGAACTCCATGAAACTGCTGAGCCGTCGGGTTAGAATGGATAAAAGGAAGTCCTTTTTCACCCAAAGAGTGATTAGCACATGGAATTCACTGCCACAGCAGGTGGTGGCGGCTACAAGCACGGGCAGTTCCAAGAGAGAACTGGATAAGCATATGGAGCAGAGGTCAATTGGTGGCTCTTAGCCACAAGGTATAGATAGGAACTCTCAGTCTGGGGCAAGGGATGCTCTGTATTCTTGGTGCTTGGGGGGGGGGGACAACAGTGGGAGGGCTTCTAGTGTCCTGGCCCCACTGCTAGACCTCCTGATGGCCCCTGGTATTTTTGGCCACTGTGTGACACAGAGTGTTGGACTGGATGGGCCTTTGACCTGTTCCAACATTGGCGTCTCTCATGTTCTCATATCTGGGGCAAGTGATGCTCTCTCTGTCTTCTTGGTGCTTGGGGGGAGGGGGGTCAACAGTGGGAGGGCTTCTAATGTGGGAGGGCCCCACTGCTGGACCTCCTGATGACACCTGGTCTTTTTGGCCCCTGTGTGACACAGAGTGTTGGACTGGATGGGCCATCGGCCTGATCCAACACTGGCTTCTCTTGTGTTCTTATGGAGCTCATCCCCAGGAGATCCTTCTTATACAAATGATTATTTTCTGACAGCAGCACGGGAAGACAGAACAGCGACCAAATTCTGTCCTTTGGATGAGGGCACAAAAATACACTCAGAGAATCACAGGAGTTGGAAGGGGCCATGCAGGCCATCTGGCCCAGGAGTGGCAGAACTTCCTTAAGGCAAGAGCCACGTAGTATAAGCGTCAGATGTCTGAGAGCCACGAAACACGGACAAATATAATCCACACGCTTTTTTGTAGAAAAATATGCAAATTTGCTTTTTCTTGACATGAAACGAAACTGCCAAAAATAAAAAACAAGAGTGGTAAAAATAGGTATTGATAATGATTAGATGGGGAGGGAGGAGAGAAAGAAAGAAAGGTGGAAAGAAAGCAAATGGATGGGAGGGAGGGAGAGGTGGAAAGAAAGCAACTTTGACTTTAAATGCATCTTCCAAGACCCCCACGCCAGCTGGCTTGGCTTGGAGAGGGGGTTTGAAGAGAGTAATGCCTTCTCCAAGCCGGCCGGCCGGGGGGGGGGTCTTTAAGGAAGAAGAAGAGGAGGAGGAGATTGGATTTATACCCCGCCCTTCACTACCCAAGGGAGACTTAGAGCGGTTTACAAACTCCTTCCCCTTCCCCTCCCCACCACAGACACCCTGTGAGAGAGCTCTTTTGAGGACTGCCCTTGAGAGAACAGCTCTGAGAGAACTGTGGCTTGCCCAAGGTCATCCAGCAGCTGCGAGTGGAGGAGTGGGGAATCAAACCCGGTTCTCACAGATTAGAGTCCGCAGACTTAACCACTGCACCAAACTGGCTCTTGCTTTTTCTCTCTGCTCCCCCCACCTCAAGCCTAGCCAGGGAGGGGAACACTGGCTGGGGAAGGGAAGACCAATCAGGGAGGCACGCCTCCCCTCCGCTTCCCCAGCCGCCATGCCGGGAGCCGCACAATATGCGTGGAAGACAGTTTGGCCACCCTGATCCGGTCCCACCCCCTGCTCAATGCAGGATCAGCCTAGAGCACCCCTGACCTCCAGGATCATCTAGTCCAACCCCTGCACAATGCAGGGAATTCACAAATACCTCCCCCTCCACACTTGCAGTGACCGCTGTTCCACGCCCAGAAGATGACCAAAAACCCTCCAGGATTGCTTCCTGATCCCACACACACCCCTACTAATATCCAGGCAGTACCTTCCTGTCTGTAATTTAAGCCCATGATGGCAAATCCTCTCCTCTGCTGCCAAGGGGAACCGCTCCCTGCCCTCCTCCAAGTGACACAGCCCTTCAGATCCTTCAAGAGAGCCATCCTGTCCCCCCC